CTGACGGGCCTGCTTTAGGGCCTTTAGGCCCAGTTCAAAAACCATTCTGTGCCTCACCAGCTCTTACTCTTCACGACTCATGCCATATATGCATGTTATTAGGCTCAGACAAGAACTCACACAACTCGTGCCACGTTCGCGTTTGGTGGCCGGGCCTGGGCCCCAAGGCAAAATGGCACCTGGTGGACTGCTTTGGCCGGTTGCCGTCCCTTGCACTATCTCAATTGCACTGTGTCACAAAACCATGGCTCGAGCCCGTGGGGCCACTGGTTCGTCACTTGGGTCCTGGCTGGAAAGCGGGATGACTGGAGAGACAAAGAAGCCAAGAAAGTGAGTACTTGTATAGTGATATGACAAAGTATTGAGAAGTGCCACAAGCTATGTTTTGTATTGTTGTTGTAAAAACATTTTTTTTAAGGGATGTATGTTAGTTGCCATCATTTATGGAACTGCTGGAAGACTAGGCTCGCATCAGCAGGTCCAGGCTTTGAGTCGTGGTCCTGGTACTTATCGATGGAGATCGATGCAGTGACTACATGGCAATCATTCCCCATGTTGAGAAGAACAATGAGGTGGATTCGGACTTTCGAAAGAAGCCCTAGAAAGGCGATTTGAACACCACCCAGATGTTTGTCCACCCAAGAATGGAATCGACACTCAGTCGCGGGTTTTCTCTCCGCCGAAAGGAATCCCGTTCTCGCTCCGCACGGAACCATTGGAAAAACCATGAGAAGCCCAGATTCCTGGAATAATAGGCCCTCCTCCCAATGATGGCTAAGATGCAACACCTATCGAACTCCACTCATTTTGTCTCTGGGAAGACTGAACCGAGAGTCCGGGGGGAGCATCTCCCAAGTTTCTGGTCTAAAGAAAACTCAGGTTGATAGTCATCCAACTATGCGTTTGTTTTTGTTCAGCCATGCGCTAGCGGCTAGATAGCGAGAATGTCAAAAATGCCAAATGTCAAGATGACTGGTTGTTTGAAGGCTATCAACTGACAATATGACAATCATGGATGTTCTATGGTCGTCCCCTCAGTCATTGGGGGGGTCAATAGCAAGTCATGTTACGTATGTGCGTATTCCTCGGTGATGCAGAAGCCCAACTCGCAGTCGTTCTCCGCTGTACTTTGACCGAAGACTACTATGGCCCCCTTTTTTGTGCCTCAGGTGGATTTGGCAACCATCCCAAGAACCACCAGCATTTCACCGCGATGTCCAACCTTTCTCAGGAGTTCGGTGTTTACTACGGCGCCACCTTGCAAAGCACTGCTTTGCACCTGCTTCGTGCGACAGCGACCGGCACTTCCGGCACGCCCGGCACGCACCACCCGCGCGTGGTGGGCTTCGACTCCTTCCAAGGCATTTCAGAAGCATGGAGGCCCATGGTGTTGGGGTGAACGATGCACCCAAGATGCTCATCTCCTGAAAAAAGCACCACGGGGAAAGCGGGCAAGCGGGCACCGCACCGACACGAGAGGCCCATCGCTGAAGTCCTGAAGTCGCGGGTCCCTGAAGGGGGCAGGACAAAGAAATCACACGTCTGGATGGCCCCAATCAGTGCAAATCGCATCAAATCGAAAAGGCTGAATACATTGGAAGTTTCGATAAGGCTCTTCAACTCGGTACCCTCCAAGTCTGGAGTCTGCAGGGCTATCTAGGACACAACTGTTGGATCATTTCGGCGAAGCCGTTTTCCTTGACATGTTTCCCTCTATCTTGGACTACCCATTTGCTGATCCCATCCCAGCGGCCAACGGGATCCTTCCGGTTGAAGCAAAAAAGATCGCAGGGAGTTCCCAGAGTTCACCTTCAGCACTGAGGGCGAGGCGAGGGGGGACCATGGACCCGTGAGGGTTTTTTGGTTTATTTCATTGGATGAAATAAGGTAGACCTACCAGGGATGAAAATAGGTGGCCGGCGTTGTTTTCCATGAGTGTTTTTTGTGTTTTCTTTGCACACTAGAAGTCTAGACTTGGCGAGGTTGTATGATTGTTTGTCTATCTCAAACGGTTTAACCTTTTGTTGAGACGTGGCTATGAGTTGAGGCCTAAAGAAAAAGCCTTCCTGTATATGTCGCTTTCCAACCGTGATCACCAGTTGAGGCCCTTTGAAAAGAGTCGGTTTAAAACACATTTCTTTGGAACAACCGACCGAAACAAGTTCAAGGAAGGACGATCAAGAAGACCTAAGTTTGGCAACTAAAAGACAATGCCAAAAGTGAGCAATTAAGAATCAACGAAACCTACTTCTAATCGAGGATTTCCCATGACAACCTAACTTTGTGATGTGGCTAAGGGACGAGCACGCTGTTGTTTCTATGGTGCTGACCCTGGACATAGGTGCCGATCAACTTGCCGCCCAATGCAAAAGTTGTGGTCGGTTGGTACAATGAGACCCTGCCGCGCTTTTTGTCCACCTTCAGTGCCAAGAGAGACTTTATTGAGTGGGTTCACTTGGACTGCGATACTTTCCTGGGACTGCTTTGCTCAGCATTGGCGAAAGGACATAAGAGGCTGTGGCTCTACACCACCAAGAAGGGAACACTAATATGGAGATGTTTCTGTTCATTTTCTGGGCCAATATGGCGTGTCTGTCCCATAGTTTGAGCCACGGCCCCTGCCTTTTTTAATGTTAGTTCTGTGCACGTCTCTTGGGGCTTAGAGCTTTGATGAGCTTTGTGTCACTCTTCAGTGCTGTTGAAGAAATTGGCCATTTATTTTTTTTCAACTGGGTGGAGGCCTCAACATGCTAAAGTTGGACGGAAAGCAACAGCTTCTAGTTCTGGTACAGATCACATCTAAGGACACCATGAAGTTCTTTCCCGCTTGAAACCTTACCTGGTACCGGGCTCTGTGTTGGTCTTCGATGATATCCTGAATTATCCTGGCTATGAAGATCACGCCCTGCGTGCCTTCTATCAGTTCATCCAGGACAGCTGACCTTCCAGTAGCACAGAAGTCGCATCCGACCACATGGTGGCAGCCGATGATTCCAAGGTTCTTTCGCACCACCTTAGGTATCACGGGGTCTGACAACGTAAATGTTGCAGGGATAAACAGTGCCTACTAATTGCAATCTTGTCCTGGACTTGGCTGGATTTGGGGTTCGGTGCTTTCTCAAGAAATGACAAAGGCCGAAGGCCGCCAAAGGCCCCTGGCCACACTCTTCAATGACGACAGTCCCTAGGCGATGGCATCATGAAACGCAAGACATGGTGGGTTCGCAAGCCAGATGCATCGACATGCAATGCGCACAACGACGTTAAGACATTGGTTCTGTTGTTTTGCATCCAAGAGCTTAATGTGGGCACCAGATACGAGACCCAGTGGTGCTCCTCAGAAGGTATAACCCTCCAAACCCTCCTCAAACATCTTGTAAGGAGGTACTTGGCGCCCCAGGGCAACACAAAATTCTAGGGGTTCACGCATACAGCACGAGACCCGAACGGCGCGAGCACGAGTCCACTGAGCTGGTTCTTGAGCTGGTCGAGGGAGCGACGTAGCGAACTCGTCGTACTGCGTCGTCCGTACGGAGCGCGAACTCGTCCGACAGGACACACGCTGGAGCTTCGAAGTCTTGGCAAGTCCTTGGCGGATCGACTGGGCGAGCGGATCGAAGTGGCTCAGAGATGAAAGAGAAGGGCTCAGGACCTGAAGATCTGTTTTGGTTCGCCTGTTGAACAGGATCTCAAAGGTTTTCAGTTCTGGCTTACAGGGGGAGAGGGCCTCATGAACTTTGGAGGTCACTCGTTCGCCTTCACGGCCCGATGGCCCAGCGCCTTCGCCCACCTGCCCAGGCCCAGCAACGGTCGCGCCCAGTCCGCGTGGTGGGTCTCACGGATGCGGGCCTTAAGTGTTCGGCTCCTCTCCTGTCCGCAGAAGGGTCATTTGAGGCGAACCCTTCGGGCAGACCCCGTGGAAGTGGGAAAAAGGCCGGTGCGGAAGGTCTGGAGACCGAAGGATGGTGGAGATGCTGAACAGGTTTTCGGTGGTTATGGTGGTTTTGGTTGTGGTTGTTACTTGTTGTACATAGCTGATCATAGTTGTTTGATGTTGTTTGTTTGTTTGTTTGTTTGTTTGTTTGTTTGTTTGTTTGTTTGCTTGGTTGGTTGGTTGGTTGGTTGCTTGCTTGCTTGCTTGCTTGCTTGCTTGCTTGCTTGCTTGCTTGCTTGATTGATTGATTGATTGATTGATTGATTGATTGATTGATTGATTGATTGATTGATTGATTGATTGATTGATTGATTGATGATGATGATGATTTGAAGTGGGTAGTTGTGGAGGTGTGCGAAATGGATACAAGATGATACAGTTATATTTAAAAACATTTAAAAACACCTTGTTGAAGAAATTGTGAGTTGTTTGTAAAAAAAACTCTGATTCATCCTGCAATCCATTTCTATGAAACTTTTGTTGAGAATGGAAGGGTGGCAACTACCCCTCCCTCCGAAAAACACGGAAGTGGACAACCTCCCCTTAACAGAGGAGTATAATAGTCTTCCAAGTGGCTATGGTCCACTTCCATCATGGTTGCACCGCACTGATCGGGAACTTCTGAGAAGTCCTCATCTTTCAATCCATCCGTGGGTTGACTTGAACCGCGCATCTTGTTGGGGGTTCTTATAGAACAGGACACCTGCTGCAAATTACCCGTGGTATCCCGTGATCCTTATTTTTAAATGTTCGATTATGTTCGAATTGTTTTTTTATTCAGAATAGATGTTAATTTTGGGCACTGCATTTGGGTGTCACAGAGTTCTTCACTCCAGTTCTTCACCCCCTAAAAGGAAAACGTCTCGGCCTCGGCGAAGTGTTTGGCTAACCAGCTGCAGGTCGGTCATGGGGTTTGTCATCAGTTCATCACTCGAAGAGCACGAAACAGGTCGATCATGGACGTCACCTGGACCCACATCGCCCATAGAAACGACATGTTACGAAGAGTAAGAGGCCAACAACAATTGCCATAGAAACTTGGAGCTTTGTTGCTTTGTTGCAGCCACGGATTCCAAGTCGAACCTGTCTTTGCTTGCCTAGCCTAGCTCCCTAGCTGGGTTCTTTCTACGTACTCCTCAGACGACTGGAACGAGCGTGTTGCACATCGAAACCGAGCCCACAATGGAGCAATTCATGAGCTGCTCCGTCCATGGCGTTTCTGCTTGAGGCGGCAAGAGGAAACGTGTTTCAAGGAAGACTTTGCTCAACTTTTGGGAATGCCAGATGGCACAGTCCTTCTGGTTTGGCAATGTCAGATGGTTTTCATGTTTAAAAACACAAAGCTGAACCCCCTCTCACGGTCAATTCGCAGTCCAGAGCATGTCCAAAAAGATCAGACCCTCGGTGACCAGACAAAAGACACCACTGTGGGGGCCTAAACCACTCCTTCAGCTGGTTCTGCGCAACCCCGTAGACCGCAGAACCAATTCGACCGGGTCTAAAGTCTCATACCGGAAGACCACCAGGGTCCAAAAGGAGGCTTTCCGCGGGCCCCACGGAGCCGAAGATGTCCTGCTCTTGACCTCCGGCGTATTCGGTCGAAACGCACTCACCGCCCACGGGGGGGAGAGGACTGTTGACATCGTCTTGTAGGACCAGAGGACCAGTAGGCCGCAGACGTGGTCATTGCCTCAGACATGGAGATTTCAGGTGTTTGAGGCCTTGGGAGCTCTGCAACTACTCGTACCATACAGGCTGTTTGTGTTGTTTCTGAGTGTTTACGTCTGTCCCCCTTCAGACCCTCCCTGGGACAGAGGAGCTTTGTTTACGCGTCGCCGGCCTGGCGGCACGTGGCACGGGCGACGCGCGTCGCCGGCCTCGCTGGAGCCGAAGTGTCGTCACCGAGCCAAAGTGGAACCAGCTACGGTTCTATCCCTCCGAGGACGCTGAAAATTGCTGTCACAAGAGTCTTTGGAGGAACAAGAGTCTTTGGAGGACAGCATGTTGTTTTGCTCCAGATGGGCGAATCTTAGCTGAAATGCAGACCGTGGAAGCTGCTGGGCTTCAAGATGGAGACACCATCACGGCGGTCAAGTCACCATTTGCAAGACATCATTTGGAGTTCATTGGCCACAGCAGATGGGTCAGTTGTGGCAGCCAGGGATAGAGAAAGGTCCCAGGTGAAGACTCGGCAGAACTGCGGTTAAAAAAACATCCACTTCCGAATGCGAAACAGATTCAATCCGCAACTGGCGATTGGCCGCAATCCTATGCATTTGCGATGTGATTTCCCTGTGGACCCTCCAAAAAGTTTGGAGGCTGGCCGATTCAGTGCATAGCAGTGCATATGATGTAGCCGTGATTCAACACCTGGCGGTACTGTGAGGTGAGGATTGCTTGACCAGCGGGACTGTGCCACTTGAGGGTGTTTTGACGTGCTTGTGGTGGCGTCATTTGGCCCAGCATTCTATTTGCGGCGTCTTTGGACCATTGCCTTATCAAATCTGGTTTCTCGCAGAAATCCGCCGAAAGCATGCCAGGGGTCAGTTGCATGGGGTGAATCCAGGTGTTGACAGTGGTGACAGTGGTGACGGCAGTTTCTAGTTCAAGGAACCGAAGGAACTGCTGGTTGATGCACAATTTCAAGGTGAGTTGCATGGAATGGTCGGAGCCCATCCTTGATGGATGTAGTAGATGATGTTCTAATGATTTCTAATGTCTTACCAGTTATGTACCGATTATGTACCGATTGACGTGGGACTGTGTATTAAAGTTTCGTCTTTTGTGACCAAAGCCGATTGGACCAGGGGGCCTCGCATTGAATGCTATTGAAATATATTGATATTGAAATTTAAATACACATTGCGCATCTGGGGACTCTTTTGAACTCATTTGATGATTTTTTTTTGGGGGTATGCTTGATAACTCACTCACCAATACAACATAGCTTCACGCCCGATGGGGGTTCATATCGAAAAGCAGAAAGCATCAGAAAACTCAACCCACTTCTTCCACAATTGGAGGTATTTTTGGGGTGTTCAATCTGACTCCTCCCAACACCTCGCTACAACACCTTCCAACACTTCATCTCCACCTCTCCACTGACTCTCCGTGGGCCAGGCATTCTTTGGCCCATGTCGCCCGGAAGCTGCATGCTCCAACTGCAAGGTGGACCTGCGCCAGTCGTCGACCGCGGTGGACCGTGACTGTTCTTCTTCCCTCGGTCTGGACCGACCGTCGAGCGGTGTCGGTGTGCGGTGTCGACCGTGGTGGGAGGTTTTTCAAGCTGTGCTTGTGTTTGGAAGGTGGTTGTTAGTGATATCATTGGTCCTTGGAAGGTGGGCTTTGGGGGGTCACAAGTGAAGTTGGACTAAGAAGCGCCTCCTTTTCGGCACTCTCATCAAGTCGGTGCAAAAAGAGACCATCGGACCATTGTCCTGTCACCCCGAACTATCGAACGCGAAACACATCCCATGAGGTACATCCGGGTGTACCCAAGACCCTCCAAAAGGATCTAAAGAGTCTCTTCTGTCTATTCCAAGATGTCGGTGTTCAAACTTCCCGCTCGTGGCCGCCTGACCCCAGTGCTTCACCTCCTTCAGGAGCAGGAAGCCGAGCTGCTGACCTCCGTGCGGCCCTGAACGGGGAGTTGTTCCAGTGCTGATTTGACCCTCCTCGGGTCCAAAGAACAGGCCGTTTCATGCAGTGGTCACTCGGATTTCAACGTCCTGAGGTTTGTCGCTCACCGTTGGTTTCAATTGGGTGGACCATATGGCGGCTAAGACTCACAGTTACATTTCCCCCCCCAAAAGAAGTCACACTACATCATGCAGTGGGGTGATACCAATCGGAAGCAAGTCTTGATACGCCAATCAGAAGATTCAGAAGCGGTGAAGTTCTCTGAATGATGTAAAGTAGGCCCTTCCCGAAGAAGCAGAGGCGTCATGGTTCAGGTTCACCTGGTCATGTTTCCACCCACCCTGCTCCTTCCTCCACACTCTTTGGTTGGTGTTTGAGAAAGACCAACCAGGAGAAGCCCGAGAAGCACCGAGACATCGCAGAGAAATCGCCCACTGGAAAGAAATCGTATAACATATATAAAAACTGCGATGTGAGACATCGCTGGCCCTGTTTGGGTTTGTTGTCATATGTTGTCAGATTGAATCCATCCAAAAAGTTTCTGAATCAGAGCCCCAACTGTTCACGCCTCCCAGTCATCCAGTCATCTCAGTCTCAGTCTAGGCCCTCATCGAGAGGCTGGAACGCGTTCGGGCTTCCCGAAGCACACGGTCCGCGGGAGACGCGGTCGCGCGCGGTCTCGATGCGGTGTTCGGAGGCGGTGTTCGGAGGAAACGAAAGGAGGCGCTTGAGATGTGAGGGAAGCACACTGTGAGTTCGACAGTAAGCGGGTTTCGAGGCGAAAGAAGGGTGTGTCAGTTCTTTCTTCATGTGCTTATGGTACATCTTCTTTGGACAATTGGTACGACTGTAGGGTTGTTCAGCAGGAGCAAGGAAACAACTTCAAATGTTTGGCATGTTGCACTATTCCTAGTGAGCTTGCTTTGTTCATTTTCACACCTTGTCTTTGCCAGGGCTAAACCAGGTTTTAAATGTTCGAGACTTTTCGCGCTAGGCTCACGCTAGGCTCGCGCTAGCTCCGCGCTAGCAGAAATTGCTGAAATGTGTGCCCGGTAGTGCACGGCCCAAATGACAGACCCAATAGTGTGAGAACAAAAGGCGCAACGCTCCTAGGCAAAGTATGAGCGGCGGTAATTTTTTTGTGGCATGATTCTTAGGATTCAATGTGAACAGACTCATCCAAAATTCTGGAGGAGATGTTTGTCGGTAGATGGAATACATCAATCGAAGTGAAATAGGGAAGTGCGGAAGTTTAGACACTTGACATGGCCTGGAGACACGGCAAATATCCAGATATGTCCCGATGGTTTGGTGCAGAGTTTGGTGCACCCTATGCTCTGGTTTGATTCGATTTAGTCAACTCAGGAGAACACAGACCTTAAAACCGGATTGAAGCGGTTGCCTTTGTGTTGTATCTGTTCCTCCACAGTAAATAGCACCTGATGGTGATTCCAGGCAGTTTGGGAAGAAAAACCCCTCTCCAACCCATGGAAGTGGACGATCTGGCCCCTTCGAACCAGAAAAGATAACTACAACATACTACAACATCTACTAACAGGGGGGGGCTTCTCCACTTGGGTGGATGGGGGTTACAGTGCTCCCCTGATGACCATGGACCCCCAAAGCCCCCCCCCAGCCGAATCGCTGAGGCCAACTCTTCGGTGGAATCCCATCCTGGTCAGCTTGGAAATCAGGCGAACTGGAGGTCAAGTGTGAGATCAGCAGACCATATTCAGACCACTGGGTTTTAGGGGCCAGGCAGGAGCCATACTACTAGTAACAAGAAGCTATTAGGGGCTCCTGGCATCGCTACTAGGAGGAAGGACACTCCTAGGGGCTCCTGGCCTTACTACTAGTAACAAGTAGCTATTAAGATATACTATGCTTTACTGAGTCATGTAGGTTTCATGTCATGTCATGTAGGTATACATGGAATGAAGGTGTCATATGTCATTACTTGAAATTCACACATGCGTGGTTCTCAGGACGGTCTGACACTTTGAAATGGGAAAAGCAGATCTTGTTCCCTTAAATTATGGCAATCTTGGCTTTCATGTTTTTGTTTTTTTTTTTTGGTGAGTTAGCTGCTAAACTGCAGCCTAAGGCTCACATTGCATTTGCATGATGTTTTAAAGGCTTGTTGAAACTCACATTCTATCTCACCCTACCAACGGTGATGTCAAGCGATGATTCCGCCACCGCATGGTCCGGAACGAGCCGACTGAGCGTTGTGTCAGGCCCAGGTGCGCAAAGGTTGGGAAGCTCAGGAGGAACAGGTGAGGGCAACCTTTGTGAAGGAATTTATTCTCCTGATAGGATCCCCTAGTAGCTTCTTGCTCCTAGTAGTAAGGCCAGGAGCAGGTCTGGCAGGAATTTCTGGGTCATTTACATGGGTCATGGGTTTGAGCTATGGTTTGAACACAGAAAGCAGGCCTCGCAATAAGGCAGGGGGGCTGTGACTTGTGGATGTTGATTTGGGTGGTTGCTTTCCCTTACGAGATGTGTTTACAGGTTCACAGTGATAACCTTTCCGCGCGCCACGGAGGAAGTAGGTGGAGCTGTTGGTTACATCAGGAACCGGGCATCCGCTGTGAAAGGCATCCACCAAGACCGGAAATTCTCTCGTTTCCACGCAAGGCAGTATGGGTGCTTTGTCTGGCTTAAGGACACTACAGGCACGCTTTCTTTTTTTCAGCGTGGGCAGTCAGGGAGTGGATCAGTGATCACTTGGTCTATCACTGGGGTTTGTAGTGAATCTAGTCCTGTTAGCCAGGCAAGAGAGTTTATGTGGGACTTATAACAGAAGTCCTGGACCTCTTGGCCAAGACAGACCTAGAACCCATCTGAACCCTTGTGGATTCCAAAGCAGCTCAGCTTCTGGGCAATCAACCGCCTCCTTTGCCCGAGGGTGTCGTGGGTGTCCCCTGAATACGGTGTCCCGCTGTCGCACATGTCATGGGCTTCTGAGCAACACTCGTGACCGGCGAACGAGCATTGAGGAACCAGTGCCCACACTTTCCAGCGGAACCGGTGTCCACTCTGCTGGTGTTCCAAGAGACCATGCCATGTTCCAAGAGACCATGCCAACTCATGTTCCAAGAGACCATGTTGAATGTTGATGAACCAACACCTGGATTGTAAAACCCCTACTGTAGGAAGTATGAAAGATCAACATTCAGAAAAACTGAGTCTACAAATGAGGAATCACTGTGGCAGATGATTCGTCTAGAAACTATTTGGTATCAATTACTAGGTGTGTACAATATGTATATCATTGTACATATATATATATATATATACCAGGAGTCACAAAGGGGTGGTGTTTGGTCCCTCAGTGAGTGGATAATGGGCACCCTCAACCTCCATGGATCGCACCCCTTTGTGACTGCTGATATTTACTTGCTGTAACTCGCCATTGGCGAGTTTGACATATGGTTTTCTTGGTCTTTATGGGGAGATCCCCTGTCCCTGGCGTCGGGAACCCGTGTTCTCTCGGGGTGGTCGGTTAAAGGTCGGCCACGCGTGGACCGATGGATGGTATACCTGGGGGGGGGTGGTATGACCTGTTTTTTTCTCAACATGAAGATGGAGATAGTATATGATCATGTACATCACATACGTGGCTCCGATGTCCTTATGATTCATGGAAATATCATGGTATATCGGTATATCATCAGTCATCATGGGGCATTTTGGATGATGGTTTGATATGGTTAGATATGGTTAGCCGACATCTAAAAGAGCGATGTTGACTGACTGAGACCGACTGTTACTAGGCAAAAACGGACAGACAGTGAGCAGTTCGGTTAGGAGGGAGACGGAGTGCTATCCATGAAGTCACTGGGTGCGCACATCCATGGCCCCTGGATGGGACTAAACGCAACACCACCCAACTCCAGGTAACTCTTGGATCAGAGTTCCGCAGGGTGAACCCCTGTGCCTTGCCGCCAGGTGCCACCCGAGTTCGAAGGGGCTCAGAAGCGAGTCCTCCAGGCCGAAAAGCACAAGCACAAGCACCCGTGCGGCAACCGTTTGGGGGGCGCCCGGAAAGCTCCAAAGGTGACCGGCGTGGACCTCTCTGAGGGAATGAAGTTAGAGTGTTTTCATCTTTACAATGTTTTACCTTACCGTTTTGGGCGTCTTTGTGTCAAACAAAAATACAACCGTCACTACGTACGGCTTCCCACCACGGCGGTGGGAAGCAGGTCGGCGCTTTGGTGGTTGGCCCGAGGATGTTGGCGAGCATGCTGTGCTTCGGTGTTACACCAAACAAATCGATGGCATGGGCCGTGCAGACATGGCATGACTGGAGTAAATCCAGTGTTTCTTGGTTCTTTCAACGGACTTCATCATCAATTTCGTAACTAAAGAATGGCCATGATCAGTGTAGTTTTGACTGTTCACCCAAACAGAACCTGTCCCACAGAGTCTGATCATGCATATCCATGCATATGCTGCATATATTAGCGACCGGTGCTCCGTATGAGCGACTTCAGTGACTTGATGCGGGTTGCGCATCAACAGACAAGTGACGTTTTCCACTTGTTCAACAGACAGCTAGAGAAAAATTCATTGAAAGGCGGCCACGTCGTTGGGTTTCTTTTTGTCTCTTCAGTCGGTCAGGGAGCCAATGGCGATCTTTCCGCGGCTTGGGCCAAGCAATGTCATGGGTTTGGGCCAGGCTTTGAACGAGAAGAGGGCACCTGGTATGACCTGATAAGACGACCGGAAGGGAAGGTGAAGATGGTGAGTTAAATTCTGGGATGCACCTTTTTGAGACATACAGATGTGGATCTAGCAGCCTTACTGGCATACGTTCCCTGAGTGATGTTACTTTGCGGATAGGGCGTTCCCTGAGTCGTTGGTTGAATACGAAGACTCTTCGGTCGCGCGTGGAGTCTTCGGCATGCGGGTCGGTCCAACAAATCAGAGGGTCGGTCGCTGTTGCCTCTTCGGATGGGATGCCTCGATTCCCAGATGGATGGGATGCATTCTACTTTTTTGGGAAACAATGGATGCAGGTGTCCAGTGGTGTCCAGGCTGGCGCCAGCTAGCCAAGCCATCCACCAGTCCCCCATGCAGTCGTCCGATCGATTCGAACGAACAGTTCTCGTTGCATCGGCCCCACGACATCGGTACACAATCGAGCTGTCTCCACTCCTCGTCCATCTGGTTGACTCAAAAAGAGCCAGATCAATCATGTGAGACCATCTAGGGACCATCAGGTGTCGCCAACCAGACAGACAGACATCATTTTGTCCGCCCCCGACCAGCAGAGATTTTTTAGTCAGCCACTACTCAGTCTTCATTATCCTCGGTTGGTGGTCAAATTTATGTTGAGTAGACCTGGATTAGTGACATATTTATCACTAAAATGACGGCCTACCTTGGCTGCTGCACATGGATGTACAGGGGTTGGCTCCTAAAAATAGATTAGTGATGACTCACCATCAATTTTATTGGAGCAGACTGGGGTTGATTTTGAGGTTGGCCCTACAATATTTTATTTTGCACGTGGGTTGGATGCTGCTCATTCTATTTCAGGGTGCCAACCTTAAAGGCCCCTAGAAACCTTCAAGCGTTTGCTCAACTATGAGGCTGAGGTACCAGACCCCCACCTGCACCAGACCCCCACCTGCACCAAGCCTACCCACCCACGTTGGCTACCCCCAATAAAAACGCTACTTGGAGGTCGGCTACCCTCATTAATGAGGGTGGCCGACCCTCACTGGGAGCTACAACCGGGGATCTTCATTTACATGTTCGTTGTGAATGACAGACAGCGATGCAATGCGCGAGCTTATTGAACATTCCGTTCTGAACATGGAACAGGCTGTCATGTTCAACCAAGAGTATTCAAGCCTAGAGTAATACATCTTTCACTAGAGCCAGCTGTCGTGATCTCTATGTTCCCATCTGCAAGAAGAGAACCTACGACAACGATAGTGACAGAGGATCGACCCTCATTGAAATGGTCGTACGGCATTCGGAGCAACTCCTTGTAGCTCGTAGCTCCGTGGCTGCTCCCAGTGAGCGCTGTTGACCTTGGGTCCTGTGCACCCAGGATCAGAAGGAACAACAGCGGTGCCTGCAGGCGGGAGCGGTGAGGATGACCCATACACATCCATACACCCACATACACCCATAGCTAACTCGAGTTTTTCAGGGATGGTAAACCTGGTAAATGATTATATATATAGATATGATTTTAATTTTGTGTTGTGTCACCTAATGGTGACAGCGGTGTTTCTGATTGAAGTGGTATCATAATAGTTCGGTTCTTGGTTCTCACAAGATCACCCAGGTCTTTCGCATGATTCCAGGGGTTTCTTTCACAAGTCCATTCACATCTTCTGTAGTAGTGTTTGATGTGTTTTGGAATGCCTCTCCAGTGATGCTCCTTTCTCATCCACCGCCGGCTGCAGAATGCGACACCGAACTTCCCCGACACCAGCATCCGAAGCTGCTCGGAGGTCTGCGTGCGTGCCTTCACCAAGGCACTCTTGCAAGGCGTCAACGTTTGCGCCCGGACGCCCAGACGCCCGGAGGGTCAAAGCGCCAGACATGGGAGCTAGAACTGCACTGGTTCACTTCCAGAGGGTGTCATCATGGTCTCCGAATTTCTGGCCACAGCTGATTCCAGGCCCACCAGCTTACGCTCCCTGATTATGGTTGAAGTTGCTTCCCTGTTCTCACTCATTCTACATACTCTCAGGAGTCGAGGCTTCAGGCTCAACACCTCCACCTGGAGTTCAGCTGCAAACTTCTTTTTCATGATGTCTGTGTGAAATATGGTGAAATGATTCTGGAGCCCGTGTCTATAAACACTTAGTGAGAGTTTGGGCTGACATCACTTTGCGGATCGTGCTGCTCGATGCTTGAAAGAATCATGGTTACGTGGATGGCATGGCCCCTTCGGATGAGCATGTTTTTCCTTAAAGAGAAACATGTTTGCCTTTTTTCTATTTTTCAGGGAGTGCAATTACATTGTACAATGTCTCTATCTGAGCAGCTGAGCCTTGCGGACGAACCGTGGGGACATCCGATTGACGTGACGACGAAAGCTTCGTCCGATGAGTCGGGAGGGTCGTATGGGGACGTCGAGGGTCGTATGGAGTGTGGATCCGGCCCAGAAACTGTGACACAACAGGATTGTGACACAGGCGCGATGCTGGTGGTGCAGCATCGCGCCTGTGTTTGACCTGCCTTCCATTTGACAGTGCTCTACTTGGGTGAGGGGTGGTATGCTGCTCCACAATCGCCACGGTATGGTCCGGGCATCCAATTTGAAAAGCTCCTCAAAACCAGAGACTGGTAGAAAGAACACTGAGCCTCCCGAAGAGTCCACTATTTAGAAGTCCATGTATGGCAAGCATTGACAGCGCCCGACTCAGATCCAAGTGCAAGGGTCCAGATGGACTCTATATAGTGGAAAGGTGTCCAAGGTAAATCGACTTCCAAGAACTGGGGATCGACTTTGAGAATGCCCGGAGGGCCAATATCAAACCCTAAACCCCAGGTCCACCATGTAGCGAACGACCTCCCACGTAGGTCAGCCGAAGGCCTGTGGTTTTTGATCCACAGCCATACAAAAAAGATAAGAAAAGACTCTTGACTCTTAATTTGTAATGACAGCCCCAATTGAATTGAAGAAGTCTTCATAGGATTTCATAAGGGGGGTGGTGGTTAATCAAGAGACATCATAAGGTCTTCCCAGATCGTCCCAAAAGCCCTCGGGTGATCGACTCATCCCCGGTCGACCCGTCCCAGGTGCTCCTGGATGATCATCGGACACGCCTGGCGGAGGCGACCGGGACACGGCGGTGGAGAAGACACAGGTGAGAGACTCCATATTAGATCATGCTTCGGTGAAGCATGTGAAGCAGTCCGGAACTCTAATATGAATCATGGGACGCTCATAGTGAAGCATGCAGTCTCTGCAGCACGTGGTTGTCGATGTTGGCCACCAGATCTTCGACCGGAGCGACTCCAAGCGGCCGAACCAGGGCTGGATCGAATGCGCCCGGTCTCACAGGTGGTTGGGGATTCAAACCTCCATGGTCGAACGGCTTAGTCTGAAAAGCTTCACATGGATCCTGAAGAAGCACTGGGTGGTCGATGAGAATCATTCTTCCACGGGTCGTTTTTCACGGTCCATGTGGTCCGAAATCAGCTCGGCCCCCTTCCTTGTCCGCTGAAGCGCTGCGATGGATGTGGCTGTGAGGAAGTCAACCTCCCCCAGCAAACCATGAAAAGTAGGTGACATGCCGTGTGATTATATTGTACAACTATACATTAATAGAGAATTATTGACTATACTATAGAATACTATAGAATTACATAGTAGGGATTTGTTCATTTTCAGTGGTCAACCTTAGGGTGCCTGGGTTTTGCTCACAGCGTGGCCTGGCCCAGGCGCGCCTGGATTCGGATCTCACCCACTTGGTGCTCCATGTGCCCCACACGCAGCACCCGGTGGCCTTGAGGCGCGGAGCTCGGGGAGCCAGAGACGGCTGAGATCGATCTGAGAGCTTCGGTACGGTGTGTTTTCCATGGTTCTAACGTGCAAGAGCGTAAGTTGAAATCCAACAATATACTACCATATAGATACCTCTAGCCAGAAATGTGAACAACCTTTCATATCTTTCATATAGCACCTTTTGGAGCATCGCCGTTCCGGGGAAAGCTGCATGGAGTCATGTTCAATCCGCCAACTTGGACTGATCCCTCCGAGACACAGCCAGGTGCATCGAAGGTGTGTCTTGTCCAACTTCCACTTGGCCGACAGTGAGCTACAGCGAGGACTGGTCGATGAGGGTTGGGTCGAGTGATGTCCTACCCAGGTAAAAGTGAATATATACATATAATATATAATATTCTTTCACATTCTATAAATAACCTTTTGGGGGGGTTGAAATACATGAATGAGTGTGGTCACAGTGTGGTCAACATCTTTCTACGTGGTCCTTTGACTGGCATGTTGTGCTGTCTAATTAGTTTTCTAATTCGATGTCTTTCTTGGACCTAGATGGTGCTGATACGACCTGTGTGTCTGCAGCACGACAAGTCACAAGACTTGTCCAATTGATCGAGAACAGGGTTTTTGGGCTTAGAGCGTTCGCATCCTACACCCTGCGACGTACGGAAGAGAAGGAAGCCTTGAAGTAAAACTCTTTGGAGCAGAAAAAGGACTCCAAAACAAGGGTCACTCATACTTACGAGTATACTTCATTAGCTCCAAAAACCATCCAAAAAAAGCCTTCAACGTCAGTGTGGTTCTATTTTATAGGTGTTCGTCATGCTCCGTGGATCTCCGTGTTCGCCACTGGCCGCTTCAACTCCTCGAAACTGCAGGGTTTCGCCGGCCGTGAACGGTGCCTGACATAGCAGGCCACTCTGACGATTTTCGGTGGGCCAGGAGCCTCGGTTCTTCCGGTGCCGAAGCGATCGAAGCGTTCCAACACGCGTACCACACCACACCGGTGGACAGGGGCGGGGTTTCGACGACGACGACGGTGGCGTGGGGAGGTTCGAAGTGAGTCAATTGAAGAACCTTTTATAGTTGATTGATTCCACTGACTCATATTGTTCAAGTGAGTTGAAACCGGTTCTTTGCAGATCGGAAGGTCGCCCGATCGGCAGATCGGCAGATGCTGTACACCGACCATGACGACCTGAAAGCCGACCTTCGACGGGTCCATCTCTTCCATTCCCAGATGACATGCGTACATTGACCCCTGAAACCACCTCGATGTATACTATGTTAGCCCGTATAGCCCAGAGGCTCACTGACCCTCAAACTCTTACATGTTTGAGGTCCCAAACCTTAGTTGTGAGGGTCAAAACCCTAGCTGGCAGTGAGCCGTTGGGAGCTAATCAAAGGGCATATAATATAGACTTCCCAAGTTGACTCTCGAAACCACTCCCCATTTCTTCACATCTTTCATTGGTTCTCACCCCCCCGTCCAAATCGCCACCACTTGGCCACTTGGGCTCCGGGCTGTCGAGCTCATGTCCATTGGATCGTGTCTTTTTTGTCCGGTGGGTTTGCACACCAAGAGAGGTTAAGTGACCTTATAGGACCCTACTGGGGTACCTATGGGATAGTGGTCCTTCAACCTCTGTTTGCACCATGAGTTTGCACCATCTTCCTTCGACCAGGCAGTACTTGACCTTTGTCTTCGACAACACTCGGGTGCGGCCCACTTGGCGTCGTTCCAGTGGCGTCGAAGGGCCGAGCAGTGAAGGAATAGACAGTAAACTGCATCCAGCAGATGTCATCCGGTGGACACATGGTGATATTCCAAAAGGTATTTCAAGATGGTAGAACAACAAAAATGCCTTGGTTATATACATCCATGATACATCCATGATTTGTGGGCACATGATGTGAAGAAGCTGGATCTACTGCACTCCGCGCCTCAATCTTCCCCCCCAACAATCGAAAGACGTCGATGTTTCGAACCTTCGAAGCTGTTGACCAATGGTGCCGTTCTTTTCAGGATCGAAGCTCGGACTGTCTCATACAGATCCATAGAGCCATAGAACGTGTATAATATATATTATATATATATATATACATAGAGAGAGAGAGAACACATCAGTCATTCGACGACCACTGTCTTTCTTATCGCCTGGCTTCAGCAAAGGACGCGTATCGATGTTTCACGACCGTCCTGTCGGTGGACGAGCTCTGGAGCGTTGGAGCGAGCTGACCGGACCAGGGCGGATCTGGAGCGACATACCGACAGAAAGCCTGCACTACTGGTTTTTGCATGTTTTTGCTATGGATTAGAATGGATTCGATTTAATTGGACCCTTCAGATGTTACGGAAAAACTGCTTGTTCCAGCCATGAATGAGATCCCGACCCTTCAAACTCCTATAGAAACCAAGTCCTTACATAGCTTCCTCAATGCTTGCCATTTCTCTTGAGAAATCCATTTCCACATCCCAACTCCCATCCGAACCACCGGGTCAGGCTCCTTCGCTCCCGGTCCGTCCTTCCGGTCTCCGGGGTCTCTGGGGTCCGCGTGCGAGGTCCGGGAGTACTTCGAGATGTGCCTCAAGGTGCGGATGGAGCAGTGAGGACGTGGTGGGCAGCCCCTACTGGTCATGAGTCAGGAGGGCGACCGGTCGGGAGACCGGCTAAAGGGAGCGGTTCAACGAGCTGAGGGTGTGGATTGGTGGGGGGGAACTTGGGAGGATCGGAGGGAGGTGAACTATGGTGATCAATATACAAGAGTGTGAAAGGGAAATGAATGGAGATATCCATTATGATCATTGAGTCTTTGAACAGCTTTGGAAGACAAGACACGCATGGACTTTGCAGAGTTCATGCTTGTTGTTGTTTTCTGGACGCGCAGGTTTCTAGCCGACCCAAAGCCCTTGAGTGGCAGACCCTTGGAACCCTCTTCCTTCAAATCACCCAATCACATGGCAGGTGAACCGGTCTCCCTTCCCCCTTCAAGTCCAGAGAACCTCAGCACAGGTTCTCATCCTTGCCAAAGGCAGGATGAGGGACGAGGCGAGGCGCTGAGCTTCTGTTCGTGGGTGCGGGGGACGACGGCTCGATGCCAGGCGTTTGATGTTCAGGGTTTGGAGGGTGGGTCTTCGGTTGAGGAAGTCATGACAACCCCGGCATGTAGTATATAGATGTCTATAGTATAATTAACGACTATAATTTCTATTGAGACCTAACAAGTCTGGTACGAGGCCAAATCATTGATTGTTTTTTTGTCAATACTTTTTTTGTGACACCAATACTTGTACAACCAAATTTATGAAACTGTAAAAATAAAACGTAAAACATGTAAAAACAAAATTGGCCCTGTGAACCAACTATAAAATTGTCCATACCATGATTCATATTTGTTTCATATTTGTTCAATAAAAGTTCATAGATGTTTATATGTTTCTCGAAATTTATGGAAAAAACACACTAAATTTATGAACGTGTTATGAACGGTGGTATGAAAAGTTTTATGAATTCAGGATTGCTTGTAACTGTTATAAAATTTCGTAAAACATACCCACAATCCTGAGTTCATAAAACGTGTCATACCACTTTTCATATGTTTTTCATAAACTTCGAGAAACAAATACAAATTGACGAATCTGTTTAGATTTTTTTTTGTTTAAATCATGGTATGGAAATTTTTATTTTTGGCTCGCAGGGCCTATTATTTTTTACATTTTTTTTTTTTCGATTTCATGAATTTGGCTGTATCAGTTTTCAGATAAAAATCATATGTTGAAGTGGTTTGTACCAACTTGCTGGATCTCAAAATTTCTAATTTATTAACTAATGGGTGAATGCAGCCGAGTGCTTTTTGTTCCTGCCAGCGTAGACGACGAGATGCCTGCTTCTGTCTGTCGCAGGGCACATGGTTGGAATGTAGAGAAGTCAGATGAGTCGGCAATGTATCTCTTTTGAATCATGTGTCCTTCTTATTGGCAGATGAATTTGGAGACAACACACACACAGAGTTGCTCACAGTTTTTTCCGGCTTGGAGACAGCCCGAAGGCGAAGGTGGGTATAGGCATAGGCACCATGCCGTGATCTTAAGAGTGAATGGATTCTCGTGCAAGCAGGTTGCAGTGATCACACCCTTTGCCTCAAGAATGACTCGCTCTAGCAGCCTCTAGCAACACCCCGAAACCAACAAGACATATCAAGACCATGAAACTTGCAGCTACCGGTTTGCCCCAAAATAACAATTTTGCTTGCAGGAAAGTCGGGAGTGATGAGGAGGTTCTTGTGTCGTCGGGGGGGGCCCTTTGCTTCGGACCTCTGTCAGGAATACAAAGAGGTTTCCGAACAGAGCCCGAATAGCGAGCCTAAGGCAGGTGGCACGCATGGGGCGAGATTGGGTAGTCTGTAGATAAGGATTTTTTTATATATCCAAGTGTTCAACTTTTGGACTTTCATGAGCTGTCAGAGGCAGCTCAGAGGGCTGTCGCGCGCGCGACAAGTCCTCAAGCTAGGCCAAGATTCCCAGGTTCAGAGTTCAGAGATACTGAGAACAGTTGTCCTCAGGCGAGCCCAAGTTGTCCTCAAGTTAGGCCAAGCTATTTGGGACATGCAGAGAAAATGAGGCCTTTCGGGATATGTGAGCCGTCAGGGGTCCCCTTGGATGCAGAGTGGTGGGGACTGTTGTGAAACATTTGAAACCATTCCGAGTCAAGACCTGTGGTTGTTCCGGGTTCTACGATGGATGGATGAGGGAACTCATCAAGCCTGTTTTAGGGCCAATCATCGATCGCACAAGCACTGTTTGTTATGTCCATCGTCCTTTTGTTGTACTCCCTGGAATCATCATACGTGGATGGCCCCGAGTTGGGAGGAGCATGGAAGTACCCGAAAGGAGGGAGGTACTCTCCCTGAGTTCCTCACATGGAAGTGGATCGCACCCATGGAAGTGGATGGCACCCATGGTCCTCCAAATGAGCCATTGGTCATCCATGGTCCTTAGCTCGTCTTAGTTCCAGGGAGTGTAGGTGTTTTGATGTTCGGAGTCCCACTCCCTCACGAGTTGCGACTTGACATGCAGGATCCCCTTTTTTGGGATGGAGGACCGCCTGTGTGTCCCAGAGAATTCATGTATATGACATGTGTGCAATACTAATTTACCTACATGGACCCTCAAAACATCTTAACATCACCCCAATGTAGGCAACTATTCCATACATCACGATGGGTGTGTTTCTTTTTTGCTGGGCCGGTAGCAGGCTCGGCAAGGTTCCTTCTATAACCCGCGAAGGCATTTGGAGCAAACCGGCTTTCGGCCTTCGCCCGGCCTATTTGAGCAGAAATCGGCATGAGGATCAATGATTCCATTATATTCCATTCACCCAGTGATTCACCTCGAAATCAAGACCATCAAGCAGGTCCGAAGAGCTCTCACCTCCCTAGAAATCGTGGGCCTCTTAGTTACCACTCTTCTCTCCACGAACACCTTCCTTTCGCCGTCGAACACGAGGTCGAGATCTCCTCCTGTTGAGCGCTTCGCCTCGCCGGGCCGAGCGGTAGGCGCCTTCCACGCCGCGGTCGGATCGATGGATGTCTGTCTTTGTCTCTGTCTTTGGATGCGGAGTTGGAGGGTTCAAGCAGGTGGGGGTTTTCCAGGAGTTTGAGGGTTCGGAGAAGACATGGAAGACAGAAACCCCACGGTAGAAAGATGGAGATGGATGCTTCCTCCTGAAGGCTCGAGCCAAGGCGTTTGTTAAAGTCAAAATTACTGAGACCGTTGCAAGACCGGCATGCCAAGAATATGATTGGGAGGTCAAAGAACTGCGTTGGTATGCCTTGGTCCTTTTGTTGCAATCATGTCCTGGAAATCGCTTGGTTCACTTGTGTGATTTGTGAGTTACCTCATTTCCATTGTTCTTTGTGGTCTAATCTATGCTGTGCCGGATCCCTGCTGCGTCCATTGTAGACCTCCAGATTTGGGAGTTCTTCTCCTCTTTCTGTGTGTATCAAATTAATAGGAAAACCTTGAGGAAAGACTTGTGTCCAAGACCCCCCCAGACCCTCCACCTTCACCCAACAGCTCCAGGTCGCACACACGGCGAAGAAAAGGGCGAAGAAAAGCGGAAGTGACAGCAGTTGGATTTGCTGGGTAGAACTCTCCCACTCACATGCATTACACCCCAGTTTAATTCACATGCGATTTGTTTACCCTTGATTGCCAAAGAAGGTCCTTATGTTTGAACATGTTTGTGAGGGGCGCGCATATTCTTTGGGGGAGTGCACGTGTTCAAGCGATCAATGTGCCTCCTGGCAATCAATGCGCTTTCGTGGTGTTACACGGTTTGCTAATTGTTCGCATTTTTGCTGATTCTTTGCAGAGCAGGAAAACCAATTGTTGACAGTTAGAAAGTGTGGCTATGTCAATGTCAAACCAAGAAAGCCATTGCGTGGATGTGTCGGGTGGACTTGGTTGCAAACAGGGTGCGAAGTGTGAAGAGGCTGCAGTCATGTCCCCGCTCCTAGCCACTTGTTTTGCTCGAATGCACACAATAATCATTCATATGATGTTTTTTGGACCCAGGGACGTGTTTATCATAGTCCCCCAAGGAGGTTTCTGGAGGCTCGCAACTTGACAACAAAACGACTTTCCCACAAAGACATCCAAAAAGTAAGACCACTGTGAGGCAAGCAAAACAATCCAAAAGCTCCTTCACCTGAAAACACAGCTGTGCGGCAAACAGCCCTGCCAGTGGCTGCCACTGCTCTCGTCTTCCACCCTTGTGTTCGGCTGTGGGATTCGCTCGCATGCTGGAGGCATGGGTCACTCACGAACGGCGATCTCGATTCGATCGTTCGCCAATCGGTTGGACAACATTTTGACTTGTGATAAAGTTTGCTGATGGGCAGATGCTAGGGGTCACACAGGGTCACACATCGCATCGGCAATGACGAAGATGCATCATCCTTTGAAAAATATGAAGAAGCGCTCGAATGTGTCTTGTTCTGGAACTCTTGAAATGTAGCGACCACCCATTGCATCCAAACTTGACTTTCGCAAATATATGATCGACCCCTTGTAGATTGATAAGTTGAGATTGAAGACTAGACGTTGCTTGTTCGAGTGAGACTAGTTCTTCGTACCTTCAACGCAGCAGTGTTGACATGGGTTTCCCGGCAATCGTCACATTCATCGTTTTCGCCATTCCATTGGGCACAGGCGTAGCCGCCACTGCGTGGACAGACAGCCGTCGAAGGAATGACAAACGAATGGCATGCATGGTGCTAAATTCCGAGGTTGCAACGATGATCTGAACCTTTCGGACAGGGGAAAGTTCAATCATCAACTATCCCCTTTCGTGCGAACTGCTGCAGATTTGGAGGTGCTTTTCTTGGCCGCCTCGTCCTGGATCTTTCTCAAGGGAAGGAAGTGAAAAAGAGCTCGCTTAGCAAGTTTGACAACTGCCAAAAGCATACATATATATATATATATAAACTCAACCCTTGCCCAATCGCCAACAAGAACTTGGAAGATCAATCGCCAAGTCCTCGGCTGTCACGTCTTGAGCACTTCTTGAACACCTGAAGAATGAAAAAAGGATGGAGCTGAGGACACCCGCTCCTTTTTTGTAGCTTGAAACATGATTGAAATCTTTCAAATCCTTAAAAGAACATCGCAAGCAACGTACCTGTGTAGTTTCAGTCCCAAGAGTCCAATTTTTGATCCGCGATCGGCTTCGTCACGTAGGTCTTGGAGAGATCATTGTTCCGAGAACATGTCCGATCCCTTTCGCGGCGAAACCCCGCGACCGAAGACTCGTAGAACACTTCCGTTGCCATGGAGATTCCGACGAGGGAGGCTGTGGCGGCAGCAGCGGCATGACTCAAATCAGGCGTGCGAAGATCTTGGTACTCCCACTGATGTGGATCCAAGCGGTGAATCGTTTCATGAGGGAGTGAAGTCTGCTCCCAGCCGGGCTCACAGCCCATGAAACACAACTTTAAAACAGTTGTAACTACTTGCTTGGGGGAGTGGAGCAAGCTCATGCGCAGCCAACCATACGTAAACATATCAAATATGTTGACATATCAAAAGAATGTTTAATTAGGCATTGGTCCTTGCCAACATGCCAAGTATTTGTAGATACTTTCTACAAGATCATCTCCAGCCCCCAAAACAAACACTAAAACCACCACTGCCCCAAGTGCCCAGCACCGAGGTTGCACAGATGAACGCAGCGGAGCTGGTGCAAGAGATGGATGAAGGGACCTGCCGAGCCCTGCAGAAGGCGCAGCCTTGGCCGCCGCCCTGGGGCGGGTCGCGCCGTGCGGTGAGGAGGAGGAACCCAGCGGATGTGCAGCTTGTTTATGCAAGGTGTAAAGGGCTGTGAGTCCAAAGCTGGATCCCTAAAGCCCTTTGGGTTGACCTCCTCGGTCGTTGATTCTCTTCGTTTGGACCTTGGTCAACCGGTCGGTCCCCTGGCCATGACCCACAGCCAAGCGCCAAAAAGGGCTCCAGCCGATGGTCCAATGAGTGTTTCTGGTCAAATGCTCGAGTGTGAGTCCGAAGCCTTCTTTATGTCTGAACGATGCCTTCGCAACACCACTCAGTCTACGAGGCTCTGTGGTCCCTGCGAGGCCCTGTTGTTCCACGTTGGCATCATTGAAGATCAACAAGAGTGTTGCCCGTGCGTCAAACCATGTCAAACCCATTGTTTTTTGCGTGCTATGCCATTGCGCATCATACGAGAAAGCGGCACTTCTATTGTGCAAAGTGGATTTCTTCTGAGAGTGGACACTTTGCTTGGTGGAACTCAGAACTCTCATGAGAGCGCATGATGAGAGAGCACGTGGGGTAATAAACACCGGTAAATTATACCTGTCAGAACCACATGATAGGGGGCCTGTGGGAAGGGCCCTTGCACGGGCCATTCCCACTGTTGCACAGGCCGTGTAGTTCACGGCCTGCCCTCCTTGTGGCAGGTCACTTCAGGTGAGGTGAGGTATGGCAGTGTCACCCGATCGGGTACCTTCCACGACAAAAGGGGGCAAACATAAAACAGATGAATAGCAATCCTAATAGTGTGCAACTTCTTATTGCTTCAAGCACATGAACCATTCCACAGCTGGAATCTTTATAACAGCGGCACCGGGCGTCCCGTCCAGTCGCTCCACCTACGTCCGTAGGCGCTCGGCCGGCGGTTGGGCGACGTGCCAGCCGCGCGGGGCTGGTTCGGCTTTTGCGGCGGCGGCGCGAAGATGGAGGGCAGCTCGTCCAAGATGGAGGCCATGCAGGCGAGGGGGGTGAAGGGGGCGAGCAGGTTAGAAGATGGGAGGTAGAGGAAAAACTACATATCAATACTTTTGTTGGTGGCATGATATGGAAAAATAGTGGAAAAAGATGAGGGATATGTCTTAAATGCAATGTTCACAATTTCATGTTTGTTGCGTCCATCCCAAGAGTCGATGGGACCAGCAACCGCTTTGTGGGACGAGCTGGATCATGACGGATGAGGACCGCCGGTCCGAACACCGAGTCGACCCGGCTTTCAGGAGCGAATGGACGCCCTGTTGGCCAGCCACGCGCAAGTGAAGCAGAGTCTCCAGGAGGCGGAGAACGACGCAGGGAAAATGCTTTCGGAGACTGAAGTGTTGCACAACACTGGGATGCCTCTTCCTGCTATCTTCCAAGGCAAACACTCCACAAGGCCCACAGGGCAAAACCGGTGATGTCGGATGGTCGCAGATGTGGTTCTTTTCCTCTTCTTCCTTGCAGGCAGAAGAGAAAGTCAGAGAAATGGAGGCGAACCAGGGCAAACTTTGTGTGTTCGATCTTGGAGTCTCTATAGGTAACACTGTTACAGGTCGACCTCATCCTGGAGTCTCAAAAGGTCACGACCTGAAGGTCCTGGTACTCAATTCATATAGCCGGCAAGCGAGGAGCGACCTTAAAACGATTCCAATGATTGAGTTCAGCAAGGACTACAGCGAACCTCGAAAATCCGTATTCGCCTATCATCAGCCACAGCCAGTTGCAGGATTCAACACTCGGCTTTGACTGGAGGTGGACCTGGCTTGCCCACATGATCCTCGGGGGTTTCAGAGCAGTCAGAGCAGCTGTCAGGCTGAAAAGCGGAAGCTGGAGAACGAGTTGAAAGTAAAGGAACGAGAGGAGAACGAGCTGTCGTTTGATCATTCAATGATTCAAGATTCTCAGCCCGTTTGGGCTCCAGTCGGACCTTCTTAGAAGGTGGGACTGGGGTGGGTGCCAGGAGGGTCCAAATACCTTCTAAGGAGGTACTTGGAGCCCTAGGTCCTAGGTCAGAGCATTCAATTGCCAGCCAATTCGACTGGTTCTTGGTTGACTGTGTCGAAGAGAGTCTTGACTTGTTACTTTGCAAATTGACTTGTGCCACCGAACAGGACGAACCTCCTGTGGTGCGGTGGCCCAGAGAGTTTCTGCGAAGTATTGTTCCCTACTGAAGTCGTTCGGAATATTTATTAAAATCTCATTCCCCATATCTGGACGAAAGACTTGGACACACCAGTGCAGTTTTGGAGATCTCAGAAAGAAGCATACACTAGCCTTCCATAACTTGATGATGTTCTACGCTTCAAACATCTGGAAACCATCAAAGCACGGTCCTTCGTCGAGCCTGGCACAGGAATTCTCTTTCAGCACGCAGGACATCCCCAAGTGTTCCCAGTTCCACCGTGATCGAACACAAAAAGGGCATGGTTTGACTGTTTGACCAACGGTTTTCCATGCGTTGGCACCCAAACCTTGCGGCTTTGCTGACTCCGATCCCATTCACCCCGATCCCGATCACGAAGACCTCGCGCAGACTCCGAAGACCTCGCCAGGAGTCTTCGCCTTCGCCCAAGGCGAAGGCCAAGGCGAAAGGAAAGTCCAAGACAAAGCCGAAGGCGGAACATGACCAGACACAGATCAACAGGAAACTTACTGCTTTGTTCAGGAGATGTGGGAAAAAACAAAGCATCATGTGAGTTACATGCACCAAAACATCTGTGAGCAGCTGCGAACTAAGCAAAGCCGCTTTTCTAAGGACATTAGATTGATACAATTTCATCCAGAGTTTCTAAAGAGTTGATTGCAGGCATCAAGCAATGTCCAAGATCCGCTCAGAAATAGGGTCTGAACTCCAACCGAACCGACCAAGCAAACCAAGCAAACCAACCAAATAGGATCTGAACTCCAACCAAAACTCTAACCAAATAGGGTCTGAACTCCAACCAAACTGGATGGCCGACATGTCCTTCCTAATCAATCCTCGGGCCAAGAACCGGTCGAGCCAGGACGCGTCTGTTCGAGCCAGCGAGTGTGCGAGGCTGGACCGAGAAGAGGTGTTTAAGTTGACTAGATCAAACATGTTGACCTCAAACATGTTAGTTTATCATATAGTAGTTAATCTAGCATTTCCATGAGTTGACCTCATTTCTAAGAGTTAGATCAATGAGGTGAATGAGAACCTTCTTAATGAACTTCGTTTCCTGCGAACGGAGGTGAATCACGACGTCGTGAGCTCGAGAGCTCTAGTGAAACTCTTCATTTGCTTACCCTGGAAAGACCCGTCTCTTTCACTAGACGCTTTAAGCATGGCTTGAAGTCGACTAAAGTGACACGACTTTAGAAGTTTTTCTTGGGAAGACGCCTGAGGCAACGGAGCTGGAGAGAGATTGACTACTTCGGATTCCCTGTGGCGCTCCTTCGTCGACATGGAGGTCCTCTTCGACGTGTTCACAGGTTATTCATGACGACACCGACTTAGGGTGTTGGCTCGGCGATTTTGGGGTGTAGTGTAGACTCCTCTTCCAAGCCGCTTGCAGTTACTGGGTAGTTCAATGAACCGTTTGCTTCCAAGAAGATGTTGGGCATGGTGAGTCCCATTCCTGCTTAGTAGGGAATGAGGAAATGGTGCGAATGGTGGGTCCAAACTGCTGGACCGACACGGGTGTTTGGAACCCATAGCCGCATAGCTAGCCTTTGCCTTCTCTCCTCAAGGTCTTTTCCATGAGCTTTCAGGTGCATCAACATCAATGCCTCTCAAAAGTAGTTGTAATACCGGTTGATGAACGTCACGTGCATTTACGCGTGTCTGTTCAATTCGTTGATACCTGAATTGCAAGCCTCTTGTTTTCGGATGCCCTTGGTCGCTCTTGATTGTCTAGTTGTTCTCTTAGTCTTAGAGGCAGGGACACTTTGTCAAGGAAGAGATTCTATCATGTTTTGCCACCCTGGCAGGGTGCGCTCAACTGGTTGCTCACTTAGATTCATGATTCAAGGCAGACATGTTCAGACAGTTCAGATGAAAGCGTGTTTCAGCAATGCTTGGCAAAACATTTGTGGCATGAGAGTACTGCCGCAAGCTGTCCCAAATCTAGGAATTGAGAATGGCATGACTTATGACCCTGTTCCATGTTTTCGGCACCTCCAGTGACATGATTTGCGGATCTGGTTGGCTGGATCTTGTCATCTTGTCCATGAACCTCTTAAGACGTGATGAATGAACAATGAATTCTGTGAGTGTAAAATCTTTCCGACGGATGAATGCTTGTATGGCTTGTTCACAAAGTTTCTTGAGGCCCGCAGGCAGCAGAGTATACAGTGACCTTGGATCAGACAAGCGGGAAGAGGCCAGATGCCCTGGCAGCAGTGCAAGCAAGCAACGAAACAAACACACAATTTGTGAAGTTCAGATGAGGAAGACGTCTCCTCTTGGAAGAGAATGTATTGTGTATCAGATCCTAAATGACGCATGCACAGTTATATCACGTTATTATATATATATGCTGCTTATATGCTAAATTAAATTCAAACTATGTTTATATATTTATGTGCAAATTTGTTCTTTGTTTTCCTATATTCTTTCCCTATATTTCCCTGCTCGACTACAGCTTCTTCACATGCTACTCTTGGTCCCCAAACCGCACGCCGCACGCCGCACCGCGACGGCGCCAGGATGGGAGTCGATTTGTTGCCCGGTGGGAAGAGGCTGATCATTGGAGGTGGGGACAGGACCCAAGGGTGATGAGGTGGGCATGTCTATTAATTAAGGGGACCATCCGAATCGGATGCGTTTCATCCAAAGTTAGGGAGGTACTTGTATGTGAAAACTATGATGTCAGAGTTATGACTCCAGTTCTTTTTCCTTTGCACTGGGCTCTCCGCGGTTTCAACCGCATGCCTCAATTTCTAGTGTTCTTCCCCCAACCACAAAGGGTAGACGCCTCGTAGATGACCAACGCATGGCCCCGGTTCCAACGTTTTCGAACAGAAGTGAGTGTATATTTTAATCGGGAGATCCGCGACCAATGGGTTTTAGTCTACGTTCCTTCTTCCAGGGGATAAACTGGGAGGTCTCACCCAAGTTCTGGTTTTTCTGTTACTCCTTTGAAACGAATGACAGGGCTGGAACTTGAACACCCTGCATAGCTTGTGGTGGTAGGCTACGACCATGTGCGACGCCATGAGACATCATCAGCATGTTCACCCTCATTCATTCGTTCTGGACATCCTCAGTGGCCTGGACAAAGGAAGTGAGGCGAAGTGTAACTCGCTTATTTTTTTAGGGCGGTCCTGGTGCGCTTTTTATCAGTCCATCTATATATCCCTGAAAGTGCCAACGACGCATGACTTAATTTGCTTAGAAGTGGTGGATGATGACTTATGACCACCCAGGTGGAGCCAAAACAACCATTTGGTATGAATCATGAAGTAGAACATGAAAGTGGATACTTGACGATTACACCCATCGTTTCGCCGCTTTTTCATTTGTCGCCAGATATCAATGATGCCAGTGGCTTGATCGAGGAGCGTAGAAGAGTGCGGCTGGCTACAGGGATAAAGGAAACCGTTTATGAAGACACGCATTTTCGGCATCAAAACGTCTTCGGTGTGTTTGTTGGAGGATGGATCAGCGTAGCAGCTGGCTTAGCATGGCGGCAGCACGCGCACGCGGCTCTTCTGGGGCCAGAGGGCAGAGGGCTCCAAAAGTCCCTCAACAGGGACCTTTTTTTTCGAGGAAAAGTGAACGTTCTTCAACCGCTGGCGGGCCAGTGCAAGTTTTGGAAGTCACCAACTGGTCGACGTAGATGCCTTTGGGTTCCTAACAACAAATCCATCCGCACCCGACCGTGGTGTGTTTCGCCGATGCCACCCGGATTCTCGGGCTGCCCGGATCGGGCTGCGAACCGAACGGACGGCCTGAAAGGACGTGGAACCCGACGGCAGGAGTGGAACCGGACGGCTCCGAAGGAGAAGAGGGTGAAGAACTTCCACTTGATCACCGAGGCGTGGATTCCGATCCGGACGGGGCCATGTGAGCATGCCGGTTCTGGGGCGGTGGACGGTGAATGGGGACGGAGTTAGATGAGGTTGGTCAGCCAAAACATCGTGAAAACAACGGAAGGAATGTGAACCAAAGGTTTGAGTGTTGGTATTCTTGGAATTGCAGTAGCAGGGTTAGCCGCAAGAAAGCATGCCAAGTGGAGTCTCGAAATGAAAGCAAAAGGAAGTGAGTGAGGTCTTCCAAACCACCCATGTGTAGGGTGGGCAGTGCATTTGCTACTCCTGCTGACTGCTTGAAATGTTTTCTCACTGCGAGCTTTGAGAAACAACTGTGTTGGATGTTCACTAGGCTCAACTAGATGCATTCCAACATGACACCACATGCTAATGTGTACCCACCCGCTCTTTGGAACGCAGTCAATCTATACACTCCGATGAACACATCACATGAAAGTGGGGGTCACTGTAAAAAGAAACAGTAAATCTACCAACTCCCTGTTGACTCCCTGTTGGTAGACCAAAAAACGCGTCCCTTCCAAATGGTCCGTTACGAATCGTCAGCAACGCACCGGGACCCCCACCGCCGCCGGGACCCGTCGTGAACACCGGGAGCACCGGGAGCAAGAGATGCTCCGGCGCAGGTGAACGGTGTGGGCGGCGACGCGCAAGAGATGCTCCGCGAGTGCCAGAGCGACCAGGCCAGGGATTTCTCAAAGAGCCGTGAAGAAGTCCGTGAATATACAACCCCTCTTTGGTTTTGAGATGGTTGGGTTGTTTCAGGGGTGTGTACATGTATACTGTTATTGAATCGCCTTCTTGGGGGGCAAGACATGTTCGCTAGGACTTCATTGGCTGCGCATGACATTCGGAGGAGGTTGAAGTCTGTTGCTCGCGAGTTCAATCCAAAGTCCACTCTAACTGAGGTAGCTTCCACACAAGCCTGCTCAGATCCCACCCGACCTGTCATGGAGTCAAGCCTAGCTTGCCCAGCTGATGTCGAAAACCAGGTAAAGATCCACATGTTCAAGCAACCAAAGTGAGCCATCCATCCATGATCCATCACCATCATCCATCAGCATCCATCCATCCATCCATCCATCCATCCATCCATCCATCCATCCAT